GTGTGTGGCATATGAATCAAAATGCTTGCAAGCACCTAGGAGGAGTTGTTGAAGAATACAAGAAGTTCAATGCTGATTTTCAGCATTGTATATATGATATTGAGGAAGAAGACGATTTTATAGATGATTGGAATAGAATGATAGACAAGTATGGACTACGTGACAATACATGGCTGCAAAGGTTGTTTGAGAAAAGGGAGCAGTGGGCTCTAGTGTATGGCAGAAATACGTATATTGAGAAGATGGACAATTGATGCCAAAGTGCTCGAGATAACAAGCAATCACAATCTGCATGATGATCTAAAAGCAAGAATGTGTAGCTTCTATAAGGACTTATGCCACAGAGTCAGATGAAACTTATGATATGGCAGCTAAATGCGCAGAGCAGCTAGCACGAGATGTGGAAAAATAGTTGAAAATTAGAACTGATCCAGATCCAAGTCCGAATTTGGGTAACTCCTCAGTTTCACAAGGTATATGCATACAAGTTATATACTATGCTACTAGTTGCATACAGTATTTTCAAACTAAGACTTACATTTAACTTTATGGTTGCAGGTACGAACATTGACTCTAGTAGAGTTTCAAAACATAACGAGGGGCTTGAAAGGCCAAAAGGTATGAAGGTCAAGGACAAGACTGCACGAGGATCAGCAAGGCCTATTGGTGGCTTGGAGAAAGCAAAAACAAAGAAGAAAAAGAAGATAGATGATTCTTTCCAACTACAACCTGAAATGCCTTTCACAAATCAAATGTTTGTGTATAACCCAATGTTAATGGTATAAGAAGTCTACCCATTTAACTTTCTCTCATTTTCAAAATTCAATGACGCTAAGCTTTGCTATTAATCTCTTAGGGTCATTTGGGAGAAAATATTGAAATGCCTTTCACAAATCAGGTGTCTACACATAACCCAATGTTAATGGTATAAAAAGTCTACACATATAACTTTCTCTCATTTTCAAACTACAATGACGCTAAGCTTTGCTATTAATCTTCTTAGGGTCATTTGGGAGAAAGTATTATACCAGGATCAGCAAGATCCGTTGGTGGCTCGGAGAAAGCAAAAATGAAGAAGAAAAAGAAGACAGCCAATTCTTTACAACTACGACCTGAAATGCCTTCCGCAAACCAAATGCCTGTGTATCTACCACAGTACAACCAAACCCAAATGGTAAAAGAAGTCTTCTTTTTAACTTTTTTTCATTTTCAATCCTCTGCGACCTAAGCTTTGCTATTTACTTGCATAGGGTCATATGGGAGCTCCGGCCAATCTTGTACACCCCTATTTAGCACATTACAACTCAAGTCTGCGACAATCCATTGGTACCTCTACCTCTATGATGATGTCAGGACAAAATCTATCATTCTCCCAACAACAGACTCCTACAAGTGGTACCTCTACCCCTATGATGATGCCAGGACATAATATATCACTCTTGCAATAACAGACTCCTATGAGTGGTACCTCTACCCCTGTGGTGATGCCAGGACAAAACCTATCATTCCTCCAACAACAGACTCCTACGAGTGGTACTTCTACCCCTGTGATGATGCCAGGACAAAACTTATCATTCCTCCAACAACAGACTCCTACGAGTGGTACTTCTACCCCTGTGATGATGCCAGGACAGAATCTACTATTCTTCCATCAACAGAAGCCAGCTTAATCGATGTTACAGATTTTTATCTCATGTATTTGCTTGCAATTCTATTAGAACCTATGAGTATATGACCATGCTTGCAATTCTTACTTGTTCATGTGACTGTCGATGGAATGCAACAATTTTTTTCTACCTTTCATGCACTGTAAATATTGTCAACTCGTTCACCGGTGTACTCCATCTAAAGACATGTCGCAAAACAACGATAACACTCAACTTCTGTGAAATCGATAACAGTATTATGATTTCTAGTATGTCTACTGCTAAACAAGCAATATGAACTATGTTGTTGTAAGAATACTTAGCATCAGGTACAAACTGTAGTACGACCAACATCCAATGGCATAGATTTTATATCTAACCTCACAAGCAGAATTGTAGTTAATCACTGACAACGCCGGCGTTGACATTGTTGACCCACGTCTTCTGGCCTCATGCTGTCTGTAAATATCACCAACATCAGCTAATTAAAAATCAGTTCATTCAACCAGTAGAGAACATGATCAACATTTTGTGCTAGACAATCCCATCAGAGAGGGTCACTCAGCGAGCATGGCGACCTCGGCGGGCGTGAGCAGAGTTCTCACCAATACTTAATGAAAGAGATGCTTATAGTACTAGCATAGGCCTGCTCAAATAGTATCATACAAATGAATGAGTTGCAGTTGATACATATCCAGACTCAAACGTGAGGCTAGCATTAGTACAGACCAAACAGTTTCATTAGTACGTCTCACAAAACTACGGTCAGCTCAAGGCCTGTGAGATCTGCCGTCTTTCAGCTGTAGAATAGTTGACCGCCTCAATTTAGTGATCAGTAGCACAGCGTCCGCGTCCGCCTCTGTTGCTGCTTAGCTTCTACTGCTGCTATACTAGCAGGGAACACGCGCAAAGGCGCTCCCAGGAAGCCAAGTCGCAGCCGGCGACAGCCGCCACGGTCGCCACGGTCTAGGCGTCGGCGGCCGCCGCGACCGTTACCTCGTCGGTGATGGACACACAGCGCCGCCTCAATTTGGTCTGAGAACAAATCCAATCAGCAGACAACAAATTAGAAGAAGGAAGAAACAAACTGGATCGAACAGGGAGGGGTCAAGGTCAGCAAGCAGGAGGAGCAAAACCAGGAGGGGGAGGTGGTCTTGAGATTGGAGAGGGCCGGCATCTGCGACGGGGGTGGCGCCACACCTGCTCGAGGCCATGGCCTAGGTCCGATCTGATTCAATCTTGAGCTTGTGCAATAGCTGCCTGCTTGGCTGCGGTGGCAAGGCGGGGAGGGACTGGGAAGTGCGGCGACGGGAGCGGAGGGCGGTCGCTGGATTCACTCGATGCCTTCGCTCCCCGCGGACCACGGTCGGCTGTCGGAAGTGAGAACGAAAGGGGAAGAAAGGGGACGAAGGGGAATACATACGGGGGGAGGGGACGGAATACGGGAGATCCGCGAATTGTTTCCTAAAAAAAATAGACGACGAAGAAGGAAAATTGGCCCAGCCGTTCGATGCGATTTTAATGTTTCGGGAGCACCGATGGGAGCACGGGACGGGAGCAGGCAAGCCCCGTCCGCCGCCATGGCCGCGACGTTTCGTCCCCCAGCTAGCCCCGCTGCTACAAAAAACTGAAAGCGACATCCAGGGGCGGATGGCGACAAGAACGGCTGCCGCTTCTTCAGCGCAGCGCGGGCCTCCCCTACTACGTGGTGATGACACTGAAAGCGTAGCAGCGATCTTGAAAAAAAAGAAACATGACGCCGATAGCGTGGCAACCATAATCTACTCCCGGCCAGCAATAGCAAGCGAGAAAACATCAAACATCTCGGGCCGGGAGGAGACTAGCATAAATAAAATACGTCGACGTGCCCACTCGAGCCGGGCCATTTCCAACTGCATTTTTATATGCCCTCCCAGACTAGTCTCCGGATCCACCTCCCAAGCAAGCCATTGCTGTCATGTCACTTCAGTTGATCTTTCGCCGGGCGGTGAAACCGCGATCGATCCGGGACACGTAAGCAGCCGGGGTTGCTAAACCGACACGGTAAGTGATGCGCGTGGCGTGCCTTGCTACTCCGGTGAACTGGAAGGTCTGGTCGACCCTGGGGTTAACGAGTCACCGATGCAATCGCGTCAGTGATTTCGAACCCTACTACTCCGGAGCTGTGGGTTATGTTGCGAGATTTTTTTGCATCTCGTTTTCTGTCTCACTGTTCTATCTCCTGGGCTGTGGGTTATTTTATTCAGCGGTCTGGTAGGTGAGTGGACAGTTGGAGGGGGAGATAAAGCCAACAGAGAAATACTCCAACCAAGCCAAAGCCAAAGCCAAGCAGAGAGAGAAACGGAAACAGAGGGGGAGAAGACTTGCGGAGGAGAGGAGCAAGTTGCGAAGGAGGCAGCGGCAAGGGAGGAGGGGTCGCCGGAAGGGGGACATGCTCCCTCCACATCTCACATCTCGCAGGTCTCCTCCTCCTCCTCCTCCGCTGCCTCTCACTCGCTTCCCCTGCTTCTCCTCCGGGGCGCGGGCGGGCGCGCCGGCTCTGTGCCTGCCCCTGCCCGAGCTCGGCCTCCTGCCATTGCTGACCGGTTCCCTGGGCCGTCTGCCCGGTTTCCTGCTGGATCCGACTGGGTTCTTGCTGTTTCAATTGTTTTTCGGCCGATTTGCCGCTCAGATTCGTGGGTGCATTCTGCTGCGGTTCAACTGTGTTTTCGTGTGTGTGTCTACAGCCTTTTGTTATAGTTTAAGTTAAGAAAGATTAGTAGTAGTACTAGCAATACTATTACCTGGGGGTAAACTGAAATCTTGTTGCTTGGAGGATTTAGATGGAGTGTTGACTGTGAATTTGTTGTGATTTGCAGCTATTTCTTCAAAGTAGCTGTTGTTGTCTGAATTTTTTTAACAGCTGTAAGTGGGGAGAAGAGAACCCCTGAGCTTATAAATGAGCGATTCGGATTTGTCTAGCGGGGGACTAGCAAATCATCTACTCAGAGTTTGTATACTCAGTTATTAGTACACCTTGCCTTAAGGATCAGAATTTCTGATTCAGGGACCAGGTTGATGCACAGTGCTGGTGTGATTTTTTCTTTTTACATGTGCGAGCATATAATTCAGTGAGTACAGCATTTGACATGTGCATCATGTCAAATTCGACCGAATCTAATTTTTTAAAGTGCACGCGGCCAGTTTCAGTGATCCTTTTTTTTGAGTTGCGAGGAGCAATTCTACTAGTATATCTTCATGTTTCAGCGTTTAATGTATTATTTGGACAGTATCACTTTAATCTGTTGTTGTTACTGACCTGCTGCTTACTTACATGGACAGCTTGAACTGAGAGCAAGAGTAGAAACCCATAAGATGAGACGCAAGCAAAATATGCATGGTATTCTTCACTTCTAATGTTTCAGTTCCACTATCCTATCCTACTTGACTGGCTATGTGCTGTATATACTGATTTCCTGCTGCTATTAGAGTTATAACATCTTTTTGTATTCCTCTGGCAGAAAATGGCACAATCATGATTCAGTTTGGTCAGCAAGTGCCTAACTGCGAGTCCTCAGCTAGCGATTCTCCTCAAGAAGTGTCCGGGATGAGTGAAGGAAGCTTTAATGAGCAGAATGATCAATCTGGTTCGCCCTAGACCTGCCAACTATTTCTTTTCTGAATTACTATTCCATAATCTTGTAATATCATCTCTCCTGGAAATACAGAATGGAGTAGTCTCCAAAAATAGTAATGGAAAGAACGATATTGATGATTGAGGACCTTGATGTGCACTTACATATCAAAGTTAGATGACATTTGTTTCCTCGTATTTAATACTAGGTAATCGCGATGGCTACACCAAGAGTGATGAAGGCAAGATGATGTCGGCTTTGTCTCTGGGCAATTCAGAAACAGCATACACACCCCCAAAACCTGACCGCACTCATCCCTTCGTAAGTCTCTATTATGATGCTTAAAAATTTCTGAATTCGAAGTGTTTGTTGAATGGCGAGCATGTGAATTGTGCAAGATGTTTGCTTTTTCAGGCCATATCATACCCATATGCTGATCCTTACTATGGTGGTGCAGTGGCAGCCTATGGCACACATGCTATTGTGAGTGATATTTCTGTCATCCCTGTTCCCTCACTAATTTCTGGCCTTATTTTTTTTTCTGTGCTTGACGGTCTTGCTTATACCTTTGGCAACTGTTTGGATTTTTGTGTGCAAGCATGTGCTTTAGGTATAACTGGAATGACTGTTGAGACAAGGCAACTAAACATGATTGTGTTTAATCACACCAATTTCACTTAAAAGTCAAATTTTCAATGTTGAGCAGCATACTGGTGGCGGCAACTTATTTTTATTTCAGAATCTCCATCCCCACCGCAGATTGGTTCTATTCTTTTTGTTAGGTTTAATATGGTGCCTTTCGATGTTACTAACTCATCTTTATCTGGTGCAAAACAATTTGAATAGATGCACCCCCAGATGGTGGGTATGGTACCATCCTCTCGAGTGCCACTGCCAATTGAACCGGCTGCCGCCGAAGAGCCCATTTATGTGAACGCGAAGCAATACCATGCCATTCTCCGAAGGAGACAGCTCCGCGCAAAATTAGAGGCTGAAAATAAGCTGGTCAAAAGCCGTAAGGTATCATTTTTATGCATGATTTCATTTTAAAAACACAAGTACTATCGTTGGCCCCATCGGCATCTTTTGGTTTATTTTCCCTGTAGTAGAAATGAATTTAGTCCACATGCACTCTACATAACATAATATTCATGCCTCTGTTCAGCCGTACCTCCACGAGTCCCGGCACCAGCACGCGATGAAGCGGGCTCGGGGGACAGGCGGGCGGTTCCTCAACGCAAAGGAGAAGTCCGAGGCGGCCTCCGGCGGCGGCAATGCATCAGCAAGATCTGGCCACGCCGGCGTTCCTACAGACGGTGGTGGCATGTTCTCGAAGCACGACCACACCTTACCGTCCGGTGACTTCCATTACCGCGCAAGAGGGGGCGCCTAGGGCGGGCCTTTGCCCCCGGCAAATCATCCTTGGCTTATGTGTGTGGCGAATGACCGTCAATTCGGTCCAATGATATTGTAAAACTGAATTTAGAGTCTGCAATTGTTACTTGGGGGTTTGGTAGACGGTCGTTGTGTTTGGGGACGCTGCAGCTGCAGCTGCAGCTGCCGGTTCTCTTGTTGTGGTAGGTTTGTGTGGCATGGCAGGTGCTGCTAAGCTGGAGCCTGCTTGAACTGTTTTCCTGTCACTTTGTTGGGGTAATAATGACCATCCTGTATGATATTAGTACTGACTTGGAGTAATAACCATTCCCGGCGTGATGCATTGCGCCTGTGGTGGTGTTTCTTTTGAGCCATGAAGTTAAACGACTTGAGTGTCGGCAGTTGTTGCTCCTTCTGGAAGTGGCAGGTTCAGAGATGATGAGATGAGACACCCAGCCTCAGATCTGTTTTTAGAGGAAAAGGGCTCTCGCCCCGGTTCCATAGCAATAATAACGAAATCAAAACAGAGAGTCAGCGCTTACACGGCACGCGGGGGAAAACAGCCAACATGCTGCCCCAGCAAAAACAAAGGGAGTCTACATCCCTGCCCCAGCAAAAACAAAGGGAGTCTACCCCTCCTAACTTGGCGTAGTCCGGTTGTGATACAAGCCCTGAATGTACAAAAAAAATATATTGATGTGGCTATAGATGGCCTGGGAGAAGCTATGTGCAGACTAACTGGGTTCTATGGAGAGCCTAAGTGGGAAGATAAACACCTATCCTGGGAGTACTTGAGATCTCTTAGGCCGCAGATGATTGGCCTTGGGTGGTCATCGGGGACTTTAATGAAATTCTATATTCCCATGAGGAGGAAGGAGGGGCTCCACGTCCAAGTCAGATGATGCAAAACTTCAGAGATGCATCGGTGGATTGCCAACTGGAGGACATGGGATATGCGGGTGAAATATTTACTTGGAGAAGGAGGAGACTGAGGGAAAGGTTAGACAAAGGTGTGTGTAATGGTGCGTTCCATGCACTATTCCCGAATGCAACCATAACCAATGCTGAGCATTCTAAATCAGATCATCGTCCTTTGGTCCTGGACTTGGAAGGTGATGGTAATGCTGTCAACCGTTCACCTGTTGGAACCCGTCGCTTTGAGGCAAGGTGGTTGCAAGAAAATGATGTTACGCAACGGGTAACTGAGGCCTGGGAGAACACATGCCTGGACTCGTTTGCGAAGCGTACAGCAGCAGTACATAAAGAGTGGGACGGTGTTGTGTGCACCACAACGCCGCCTGAAGAAACTCAAGGCGGAGCTTGAAAGTCTACGATCGGGGCCCCTTACTGATGAGGCGGCAGATCGGCAACGAGAAATTCTGATCCTCATTGAAGAAACTCTGGAAAAGGAGGAAATATATTGGGTGCAACAGAGCCGTGCAAACTGGCTGAAATATGAAGATCGAAACACAAGCATCTTCAATAATTTTGCGACTGCTAGAAGAAGAAGAAATCAGATCCGGAAACTTCTTGGAGATGATGGCGTATGGAAGGAAAATGTAGAATCCATGGGAAATCTAATCTCTGATTATTTTAAGTTGATGTTTACATCTGAAGTTGTACATCCAAACCTGAATGTTTTGAATAAAGTGAAAGCTAGAGTTTCGGACTATATGAATGAAGCACTGCTTGCACCGTATACGGCTGAGGAAGTGAAAAAGGCCCTGTTTAGTATTGGCGACATTAAGGCGCCTGGTCCAGATGGCTTGCATGCAATCTTCTATAAGAGGTTCTGGCCCCTTTTGGGAGATGAACTAGTAACATAAGTATTAAACGCAGTTAATACTGGGGTTATACCGGAGGGTTGGAACTCAACTACTATTGTGCTCATACCCAAAGTAGAGACTGCAGAGAAAATCTCGCAATACAGGCCCATAAGTCTCTGCAACGTTGTCTACAAGGTGATCTAAAAAATGTTGGCTGCTAGATTAAAAGTCTTCCTACCTGATATAATCAGCGAAACGCAGAGTGCATTTGTGCCTGGGAGGATTATCACTGACAATGTAATTGTGGCGTATGAATGCTTACACACTATGAAGAAGAGGAAGCATGGAAAAAACGACACATGTGCTGTCAAATTAGATATGCACAAGGCCTGTGATCGAGTAGAATGGGTGTTCCTTAAAGCTATTTTAGGCAAGCTTGGGTTTGCAGAAAATGGATTGATTTGATCATGGCGTGTGTAACCTCTGTTGAATACACGGTGAGGTTTAATTCAAATGAGACTAATCCCTTCAAACCATCCAGAGGGCTCAGGCAGGGGGATCCCGTGTCCCCCTACCTCTTCTTATTATGTGCAGAGGGACTTTCAACGCTAATTGAACATTAAGAAGCTCAAGGCAGGCTCTTGGGGGTTCAAGTCTGTAGAGACTCCCCTAAAATATCACACTTGCCTTTTGCGGATGATTCCCTAATCTTGATGAGGGTTGATTCTGCTAATGCACACTCACTTCGGAGTAGTCCTGGCCATCTCAGGCCCGGCCCTAAAATCCAGGGCCTAGGCCCGATGGGCTTTCCCATGGGCCGGGCTTGGGCCTGAGTTTTGAGCCCACCAGTAGGGCCTGGACGGGCTTGGGCTTGGCATATTGGCATTTTAAGGAAGAGGCCCGACCCATGGCCCTAAGCCCTAAAGGCTTTTTAGGGTTTTTTACCAAATGGGCCGGGCTTGGGCTTGAAAAGTAGGCCCAGTGATAGGGCCTGGGAGGGCCTGGGCCTCAGTTTTCTGCCATGGGTTTTTTCAGGCCCGGCCCAAGCCCGACTCGGCCCGGCCCATGGCCAGATATACTTCGGAATATATTGGATGATTACTGCTCAGCTTCAGGACAAATGGTGAGTGTTGCTAAATCATCAATTTTCTTCAGTCCCAATACTGATGTGGATGTCAAAGCCGAGGTATATCAAATATTAGATATTATGACTGAATCATTATCAAAGAAATATTTGAGATTGCCATCTATGATAGGTGTAGACAGAACTGGCTGTTTTATGCACCTTATTGAGAGAATTCAGAAATTGATTAATGGTTGGAAGGAACGTACCTTATCTTTTGGAGGCAAAGAGGCCCTAATTAAGGCGGTGGCCCAAGCCATCCCAACGTATGCGATGAGTGTTTTCAAATTCTCGAAAAAAATTGCAAAGGGATCACTGATGCAATGTCGAACTACTGGTGGGGTGAAGGATGATCAACGCAAAATGCATTGGGTCGCTTGGTGGAAAATGTGTGTCCCAAAAGAAAAGGGTGGAATGGGTTTTAGAGATTGTAAGTGCATCTAGTGCCCCTTAGTGATTTTGGTGTATTGAAGACTTATAGGTTAAGGGACTAATATGTTTGTGACTGTACACAAGCTCTATAAGTCGATGAGGAGTTTGATATTTATAGTGAAAGTCGACCCCTAAAAATGAATGTCTTCGGCTGAAATCTTTGGTTCTCCTGAAGACTTTGAAAATGAAGAAATTGGTGTGACCTTGAAGACTTGGATATTCATGCGAGGATTATGAAGCGCGAATACTTTTGTTTTCATAGTTTCGTTTTCTTCTTCTTGAGTCATAGGAAACACTGTACTGTTAAACGGGGTCGAGGTAATACTAAGGAAACTGATTTCCAAGTGATGCTCATCTCAAAATCCTACACCCTACCCAATCCTTCGAGTGAAGCCATTGGAAATCTCATATCAGTTCAGTCAAATTCTTCAGTGAAAGAGACGAAGATCTTCTGGTCTCTGAGGAATTTGTTCTAACTGAGGAGTTAAGAATTCGCCAGTGCGAATTGCCTACATAGTGAGGAACATGATAACCCTGAGGAATTCAAACCTCAGATATCCGACCGTTGCTGAGCCACGCGCCAGCTGTCCCGAAAATATCCTACCACCTAACAGTCATATCAGCCAAGGGCATTTATGTCTTATCATGTCGGGCTGCTCCCTAGGCTATAAATAGCCGCCCCCTACAACCACTAGTTGGTTGGCTGCTCCGAGAGAAACTGACACTTGTCATTTGAGAGCATCCCATCCTCCGAGGACTTTGAGCGAAAATCATCAAGTGAGGAAATACCCAAACCCAAACCCAAACACCTACAAACCCCAAAGTGATTGAGCATCACTGAAGAGATTGTTCCTGCGTGGAACCGACACTTGTTACCTTTGACGAGTGTGTATCCTCCAGATGGTTAGGCGTCAT